GGACAACATCGAAGCAAAGGCCGTGAAGACGCTTTACTAATCAAGGAAAAACCTTCTGATGGAGGACGTTGGTTTCCATTAATAAATATGAGTTTGGAGTTGGAACAAGCTGTTTTTATTTCCACAGTCAGAACCGCTGCTTTGACATCAGAAATAAAATAAAACATTGTTTTTCATTCATCATTTTAACCCTGCTGCCACTAACATGATTTTAGTAGCTGTTTTGAGAGTTTTCTCATATTAAACCTTCTATGTGCAAAGACAGAAGTGAATTACACACACTCATTAAAAAACTAAAAAAAGAAAGAACATCTGCTTTTTATAGTGAAGTTAAAGCAATTATTTATGAGAAGTAAAATTACAATGTATCAGATCTGTGATCAGCTTAAAACTGTTTGAATATAAAGTGTATTTTATATTCAATTTACATAAAAAAGGTAAATATGTGTTATGAAATGTTTGTTCTTATGCACATTGATAACACAGCAGACAAATTTGCTGATCGGTGTGTCAGGCCAACACCAAATATTACTTTGTGTCTATCTCAGACAGCATTTGTTGAAAACAAAAAATGATAAAAAGAGCAATGAAAATTATATTCTCTTTGCAATAAGTTCTACTTGTGCGACAGCCACACGCAAAGCTGTGAAATAACAAAGACATGGCCGTGATGACACATCCGAGCGTGTCCACTGTAAACACAAAAACGACTTCAAACTGAAAGGCACATTATTTTTTTAGATACACATTTTTCCTCCAGTGAACATTGCTAGTTGTTTAAATAATTTATGAAAGCTTAAATAACCTACAACAGCTTTATGCCATTTTTTAATGTAACCCTTGAAGCCAAATGGTAGCAAAAGATTTGTTATATTCCATACAAACTCTAGAAAATAAACTTTAGGGTGCAAAGTTTGAGGGAAATTTAAAAAAAGGCCATTTGTTGGATAAAGGAGCTTTTTAGTTATGTCACACAGGGAAAAAACAGTGACAGAAAAGAAACAACACTATCAGTTTAAAACAGGAAGTTTGGTGTGTTGTCAACCAATCCATCCACCCCACTCCTTATACAATGATTGTACTCTTTTTGTGATTACGGCTAACCTGAAACGCCAGATGGTTTGATAAACCGAAACCATCTGGAAAGTCATCTGTGGAAACTGTTGGTAAATTTGCAGGCACTTTCAAAAAATATTTGGCAGGTGATCGAACGAACCATCTGCCCAGCACCCTCTACCAGCTAAGACAGTTGGTAAATCAAACTCTCAGAGAATCGGGGGGAAAAAAAGAAATAAAAAATAAAAAAAAATGTTCACAACTGAAAAACAAACAGATGCATTCATATCTCTGAAGTGTTACTGTTCACTAAATTCAGCAAGAAGCTTTGCATTTCACCTCCTCCTCCTCCACACGAGAGAGGATGCATCCAGCTCTGATCTGTAACAAATAAT